AAACTCGAAATAATGATCGAGTGATTTTTAGACGACACAACCTAAATGAGAATCAAAGATCTCGTTAATAGTACAACGGTAAAAAGACAGACGAAAACGGACGTCGGATGAAGAAGTTATAAAATTTTAACAGACTTTTCCAGTCCCTGCCCGTTAAAAATATAACATTAAAAATAAAGTCAAAATTATCCGACTAAGTCTAAACGAAAGTTGTAGAGTATAATCTCACCTACGCATGGATATAAAGAACGTCGAAAACGAAGCTCGTATGCGAAAGTTATGAATTTTTTAAGATTTGGGCACAAAATCCGAGAAGCTTCGCATGATTGGCTCGGAATCGACCATGTCACCGACTCTCGTATCTGCTTCGTGTCTGACGCATGTCGTTGGCTCCTCACATCCGAAGCGCGGCCCAGTCCGGATCCGACGTGTGTCATCGCTATGGCGCATTCGAGCTCGGACCCGTGTCCGCCTACAAACCGAGTCGCGTGCCCCTCCCCCTCGCCTTCGCTACTGCCGCATGTCCTTCTCCCTTCCCCCTTCGGTCCGAAGCCTCACCCTATATAAGGAGAGGTGCGAACCCTCCCGGTTTGGTTGGAAATTTCACACTTTTTACACCTTACACCCTCTTTTAAGCTATTTTACAACCCTCGAAGTCCCAGGAACCTACCTAACACCCGGAGAACGTCCCGAAGCGCCCGAAGACCCCAAGAAAATTATCTTTTCGGTTTGAAACTCAACCCTCGCAAGGCCCGGTTTTTCATAAAGCTCCCGGGTTTCATCAAAGAAAGTTATTTATAGAAACGAAGTGCTGCCCAAATTACCATTTTATCATTCGGTTATTTCACGGTGAGTTCAATATAGGGACAATTATATGTTAATGTGATTTCCTGTGTTATTATGGTTTTATGCCTTTGGCCATGTAGAGCATGTCTCGTATCACTTCTGGTATTGACTTTGTGCCTTTGGCCATATAGAGCATGACTCGTATCACTTTTGGTATTGGCATCGGGCTAGGTGGGGCTGAAAGCCTGTATATTCTAGCAAAATGATAATCAGCAATTGTTTATTTTCTGTGCCACTTGGACTGAAGTCTTATTGATGTATATCATGTTGAAATTGTTGTATCTCATTGATTGTAAATCTTTGAAACAAATCATCGGTTGATATAGAAAGTCTGTCATATGATTCACATATGCTTTTGTTGTTCTTTGTCCCTCCTTG